ATTTAAGCATATATAATGATGGTTTGGACAAGAGAAACTGAATTTTTCTTCCTTCTAATTTTGGAGTTGAAAAAATGCGTATCAAGTCAAGCCAAAGAGTTTTTGCATAAGTGTATCAACCCAAAACACTCAAAATTCTTGGGAAAGCATTTAGGGTAACTGTCTCAAATCTGTCAATGTCAAATCAAACCCAATGATAAACACAGCATGGATATTGGGAGAGGGACCCCAAAAACCCCTATATTCTTCATCAATCTGGAATATTGCAGAAAAATGATATCTTAACCCCAGAAGAAAAAAAAAAAAAGGAAAAAAAAAATTCACCTTCACATCACTGTCTGAGTCCAAACATGTTGCATCTTATAATATTTTTTCTGATGATTTGGCCATGTGGGCGTCCCCTCTTTGTCCATACAAATCTCCACCGTTCGTATCACCTTCCCACCCTCTATTTATTAACCCTCCCCTCCACGCTCTTCTCCCAATCTCCCCTAGTCATCTCCTCTCCTGTCTTCTTCACAGCCTTCCCCTGCTCTCACCTTCTGCATTACACCATAAATTTTCTCTTTTTCTCAAGAAACATCAATGGCTTGCTTAGAGGTGTGTAAGGAGGTCAGTAAGGGGCTAAGGGCTCCTGTTCTCTTCTCTATACTACAAAAATCATTGAGCTGTTTTCCTCAACTTATCTGACTATATATATATATATATATATATATATATTTCTCAACCATCATTGTTCCATTGTCTTCGAAGAAAGAAATTTTGAAGTTTTCCGTCTCTTCTTTCTCTTTTTCTTTCCTTTTTTCTTATGTTCTTCATCTTTTGGTAGGTAAAAGATAAGCAACAAAATAAAGAAAACATATAATACTCTGATGCAAAGCAATGATGGATGCATTCATGCAATGTTAATATTACTATCCTTTTCGTGTGATTCTTGAATATTGATACTATGATAATGGATATGATTTATTGACTCCACCTTTTCTTTACAAAAAAATCAAAAGCAGGGGAAGTTGAAAGAGGATCAAGGAGCATGCACTCAAGATGGAACTATCGATTGGCATGGCCGCCCTGCAATCAAAGCAAAATCAGGACAATGGACTGCTGGAATTATCATTCTCTGTAAGCTCCCCAAATTTTCACTACTAAATAAATAGATAATCCAATGATGAATATCATTCATTAGACTTCATTTAAATCCTTCCAAGTCAGCATAATTTACAAATTTCTCCCACATTAGTTTCTTCCTTCCTTTCTTTCTTATACCCTTTTTCCCATTCTTTTCTTTAATGATAAACATAAGGCTTGGCCACTTTCCAAAGATCTTTCACTGCTTTTGATCTCACTTGGATACATGGGTCCAATATATCCATACTGGGGCAAATCTCCATCTTAATTATTCTATCTTTTTGCTTGCTCCCAACGCACTAAAAGAATATACATCACATTTACAAAGTTTTCCTTATCATACCCTTCAAACCATGTGTTAAAACAGTACCAAAAATGTATATAATTCACCGTTGGAAGGGATATGAGAAAGAGGAACTATCTGTGACAGAGCTTCTTTAGGATAAGCTATCAAAAAGGGCTGGAGAGAAGTGAGAGAGGGAGGCGGAGTTTTTCTTCTCAGTTTCCAGAAAGGGGGAAAAAGACAATAGGAATGAAGAAACGTGTAAGGTTTGGAACTGAAAATCCAAAAACAAGTGTTTAAGCTGGTTGCATGTTTCCATGAGCAAAAGGGGGTTAGCAGTTTGCTTTGGGTTTTGCCACTTTTTGCTGAATTCCCTCGACTAGACGACATGCCCAACGGAAAACAAAACCACTGAGAGAGGGCATGCAATTAAGGCAAAGACGTGCCTGGCACGTAAACAACCCTCCTGCTTTTGCATGACGTGGGTTCTTGCCACGTGTCCTCTATCAATAATAACATACAAAATTAGGGAAAAAAAAAGTTTTCCAATTTCCACACGGTTGAATCTCTAATGCCTACAAAAAGAGAAAAAAAAATCATATTTAGGTGTAAAAGAATTAAAAAAGAAAAATACAACTTATTAAGTATTAGCTAGGGTAGGCAATTAATATGCTAGCGCTCGAATAACTTTTGGCGTCCTAATTACTTTAATCTTAGTCTTTCATTTTATTGATGTGGAATGCATGTGTTAAAGTCGAGTAATTAGACATTAATTAGAGCTTATTCATGCAGTTAAGCTTTTACTAGAATCCTTTCGTGTAAATGATTTTTTTTCCTTTCATGCAAATGATTACATAATGGACTTTACTCATATAAAAAAATCAAGCATGAAATGAAAACATATATATTAGTTCGGGATTTATGTTTCATACATTGTTAATAAATAAATTCTATATATTATCATTAAATCAAATATTATCATTGCGTTAATAACAAAATTATAATTTTAAAAAAATTTATTTAAAAAGATTGTTTAAATTTTTAGTTTTTACATAGTTATGAAGCGATTAAGTGATAAAATATAAATGGTGTACACTAACATCACATTAAATATGAAACCGAGCTACAACACCTACAGCAAAAGGCAGGCCCGTTTCTTAACCATGTTGCCCACTGATTATATTAGGTTAATGACTTGACAAATTAGTTGAAATAATACTAGTGGAAGAACCAATTAAGAAAGAGACCTAACCGTATATATAAAGATTGAACATGGACACGTTGCCAGTAGCTATTGCTCTTCCTTGTTTTTCTTTCTTTGGTTTCATGGAATAAATATTTTACTTTAGCTCAGATTTGATTTTTGGAGCCAGATGGCAGTCTACATGCTCCCAATTAGTGTACTTTTCAAGTTGCTAAATTTGTGATATCAATGCACATGAATGGTGAAAATTATACCAAAGAAGCTCCGATCCAACCCTTAAAAGACCATGACATTCAAGAATGATTTTTACATAAGAGAGGGATGAGTTCATCAATTTGCACATGCAAAGAAAACGATAGGTTACTCAAGAGTTGGGTGTTTGATCTTGACTAATATAGATTCTGGTGGTGAGATGCGACTATTATTGAATGCTAGAAGAGTATTTGAAAGCAACCTTTAGAAGATTCGTACGGTTTTAGGTTTCCTTCCTTAACCTAACTAGGTATCCTGAGGGAACCTTCCTCATGATCTTGATGTGAAAGCCTCTTACTCTCTCACGACTACCAGTATTATCTTAGTACCTTGTAAAATATCAAGGTTTTTTTTCTTTTTTTTTTGGGGACGAATGTCTCATTAATGTTTTTTTTTTTTTCAATGAATTTAACCAGTGAACCAAGGTCTGGCTACCCTAGCTTTCTTCGGGGTCGGCGTGAACTTGGTGCTTTTCCTGACAAGAGTGTTGCGGCAAAACAATGCTGATGCTGCTAACAATGTTAGCAAATGGACTGGAACTGTCTACATCTTTTCCCTGGTTGGTGCTTTTCTCAGTGATTCCTACTGGGGAAGATACAAAACGTGCGCCATCTTTCAAGTCATCTTTGTTATAGTAAGCAACTTATCTCTCAACCTTTCATCATTTCTATTCAAGGGCTGCATAAACTTAAAAGAGTAGAAAACAGAGTAAAATCATTTGGTCATGATCTTGCTACTGCATTCTAATTGTGTATACCTACATTTGTCTCGAATGGCAGGGTTTGGTTTCGCTATCGCTATCATCATACCTTTTCTTGATCAGACCAAGAGGCTGCGGTAATCAAGAAAATCCATGTGGTTCACATTCGGGCTTGGACATTACGCTATTTTACCTTTCCATCTACCTAGTTGCACTAGGAAATGGAGGGTATCAGCCTAACATTGCTACATTTGGGGCTGATCAGTTTGATGAGGAAGACCCCAAGGAAGGGCACTCCAAGGTGGCCTTTTTTAGCTACTTCTACCTAGCTTTGAACCTGGGCTCCCTTTTCTCCAACACCATTTTAGGGTACTTTGAGGATGAAGGGATGTGGGCACTTGGATTCTGGGCGTCCGCAGGCTCTGCTCTTGCAGCACTTGGTTTGTTTCTGGCAGGAACAACCAGGTACAGGCACTTCAAGCCCAGCGGAAATCCTCTCTCCAGGTTCTTTCAAGTCATTCTAGCTGCAACAAAGAAATGCAGCATTGATTTGCCACCAGACGCAGACGACTTGTATGATGTGGATGGAAATGATTCTTCCATGAATGGCAACAGAAAGATTCTCCACACCAATGAATTCAAGTAAATTTTAAAACATAAGCCATGTTTGGAAATAAACCAAATGCAAGATTATATAGATTATACATAATGCTAATTATTAATTAATCTTGTGTAGGTTCCTGGACAGAGCAGCGTACATAACTACAAGGGATGTTGATGACCAGAAGAAGGGCATTTACAGCCCATGGCGTCTCTGCCCTGTTACACAAGTAGAAGAAGTCAAATGCATACTAAGACTACTCCCAATTTGGCTCTGCACCATAATTTACTCGGTGGTCTTCACACAAATGGCCTCTCTCTTTGTTGAACAAGGTGCTGCAATGAAAACTACCATCTCAAACTTCCGGATCCCTCCAGCAAGCATGTCCAGCTTTGACATTCTCAGCGTGGCACTTTTCATATTTCTTTACCGGCGAGTTCTTGATCCCCTGGTGGGAAGGATAAGAAGGAAGGATTCCAGGGGACTTACCGAACTTCAAAGGATGGGCATTGGCCTTGTTATAGCAATATTGGCAATGGTTTCAGCTGGAATTGTGGAATGTTACAGACTAAAGTATGCCAACAGAGACTGCACGCATTGCGAAGGCTCAAGCTCCTTAAGCATCTTTTGGCAAGTCCCCCAATACGCATTTGTAGGAGCATCTGAAGTTTTTATGTATGTTGGCCAGCTGGAGTTCTTCAATGCACAAGCGCCAGATGGGTTGAAAAGCTTTGGCAGTGCCCTTTGCATGACATCGATCTCGCTAGGGAACTATGTTAGTAGCTTGCTTGTGACCATGGTGATGAAGATCTCAACCGAAGATCACATGCCAGGATGGATCCCAGGCAATCTCAACAAAGGTCACCTAGATAGGTTTTACTTCCTCTTAGCTGGCCTGACAACAATTGACTTGCTTGTCTATATAGCATGTGCCCGTTGGTACAAGTGTATCAAGCTGGAAGGAAAAACTGCAGCAAACGATGAGCACGGTAGCTTTAAAGTGTGATGTATATCCCATGCCAAAACGCATAATAACAGTATATATTAAAACAATAATCAGAGACTGGGTACAGGGATAGTCACCAGCACTTTGTTGAGAGTTTATGTCTAAAGAAAAGTGGGTATTCTGAGAGAGAAACCGTTTTTCCTCTCAACTCTCTTAAATCCCATCACTTAACACAGTTTTTCTGTCCTAGATGTTGAGTCAGAGAGCACATCAAGGCGGGAATTAAATTATGTGCTCCAAGGCTGTTCAGTTCTAACTGGATAATTGTATCTCTTCGTAAATTGCTAGATGTTCTCAGCAGAAGAGAGTTAACTCTCTTGGACATCAATGAAAGTGCCCTTCTCCTTCTAGATATAACTTCTATCAAACGCTTTTCAAACCTACATTATTTGGCATCAATTAGCACTAACAAATTAATTACCAGGAAAGTTTTGTTTGATAAACAAATGAAGAGCAATTCATGGTCACAAAAGCTTGGTTATAGAAATTATGCTGGATGTCAGCACAGAAAACATTGGCAGCAAGTGCATCCACAGGTGAGTTTCAATCGTAAATGACTCATAAATTGTGACCCAATGAAGGTAGCGATAAGGACAGTTCAATTGGGTTTTCCTACCTCAGAAGAATGTCCTGATACGAAGCCATAGCACAAAGATGCAGAGTCATGAGAGGCAGAGTTCGACTTCCAAGGTTACTTTCTATATTAGGATACCTTCAAGTAGTTCAGACATCCAACAGAAATAAGGGAGAGAAGTTGTTCTGGCTTTTGTGGAACTGGAGCAGGGAAGTGCTATTCTAAGGATTCAGGTCAAGCATGAACTCATCAAGTTTATCATAACATGTTACCTAAGTGAGCACTCGTCTGTTACCATAACCAGAATGCAATAGGATGCCTTTGCCACATCTGAATTCTTTTATCAACCAAAATTTCCTTCAGATGAAACATTTCAGTGAATAACTAGATTTTGTGCTTTCAATTTCCTTTACCCAAAAAGAAATTCTGATTATTACTTGGACAAAGTTACAACATTGTATACAAAAGCTAAAACCAAAACCATGTCCATTGTGTATTACCTACTCCTTAGTAACTTCTATCACAAGAAAAAGTGTCTTCACTCTTCCAAACATAGAATTATGCTTGGACTTTTCGAACTTGGATGTGATGGGTTGATTCCCGACGCCAGATCGGTTGCGCTCCACTTTGGACTAGAGTAACATGCTCTCCCTCCTTCACCAAATTCTTGTCCTAAAGCATTGACAAATTGTATGAGAAAAATGTTTAACCATGTAAAGTAATGATCAATAGGAAAACCACTCAATGGCTGTGTATTAGTGGCAAAGGCTCTGGTTGACAAAATACAAATCTCACTGCAGTTTTAGTCCATCTGTGAAGGGCATGAAAACTCATACCATTCATTCTTGAACCACTGGCCTTTTACCTCTTTACTCTCAGGTATGTCTTAGCCCATACTAAGGGATAGCCAGCTCATCGCCTGCATGTCTTGTTTTGACTAAGCCCCCTAAATTGGCTCCACAACAGCTAGAAACTATTCTAGGGTGCCAGGTAGGATAGCCATCCATTAATCCTACCCTCAAGATGGAAAATATTTTCTTCAATAAAAAGGCACTTTTAAGTACTAACCATTAACAGCTTGAGTGCTCGGGAGAAGGTCTCCTCTGCATCATCTGAAAACTGCATATATATGGGCATGACCCCTTGATAAAGTGCCAGTCTCTGCTTAATCCTTTCCCTGCCAAGAATGAAAATTATTGCACAAAATTGAGAACAGGGATGGAAACAAGTTCTAAATGATTATCAATTAGAAAATCTTTGACCATATCTGCAGTTAATCTGGCAAGAGATTGTCAGGAATAATTTCCATAAGGCAGTTTTACCAAACTTGAACACTAGCATTTTGTTGCACAACAATGTATATGATGCAAACAAACATGATACAAAAATTATTCACCAAGCACAAAGTACATCAAAAACCAAATCCAAATAATAGGAAAAGAGTAGTTTATGTTGTACAGCTACTGTAACTCACTCATTCGTGAAGGCAAAGATTGATGAGGAAGGACGGTAATGACTTAATAGTATAGCCATGGATCCTGTCCTTGTAAAGACAATGATTGGCGTGTTAAGGGTGTTGGCCATAGTTGTGGAATGGAAAGCAAACATTTCGCCCATATGACTCTACAAAAGAATGCCCTCAATGTGGTCAGATTAGAGAAGGATTTTGACAAACAAGGGATTAGAGATAATGAAAAGTAAAAGAACTAGAAAGGGTAAAATCTTTCAGCTCTCTTCAGCCCTATGTCATATACCCCTATAATCTACAGGCAACATGAAAACACACACAACCTTGCATGACATGTAGCCGATTCCAAAGACTGATTACCTTGTAAGCATTAAAACGAACTGGAGGCATAATGCTGACTGGAAGACTTGACTCGGTCCTCAACGCCACACTGTGCATAACTTTAACAGCTTTAATTGGATACCTTCAGTTGATGTCATGAATGATAAAATTAGTTACTAAATTTTAGAGATGTAGAAACCAAAAAACAATATCATGAGGTAAATGTTAGATTAAGTTATCTAAAAAGAAACAAGATCAACAAATATTATAATCTAACATGAATGGACCAGCTAATGTCAACACAGAAATTGAAGCAATTGAGGCCCTGCATTCTTAATGATGATAAATCAGAGCATTCGGATGACCAGGTCATCTAAAATCTGCCAGATGGCTTCTCACTGGAGCTTTGCCCATGTAAGGCCAAATATTCCGATATGTTCATGCTATTTAAAAGCCGTCAAACAAAATGATGAACCTTGGATATACAAGGAACAATAAATATGGAATATAATACACTAGTCCACAACATAATGAAGGCATCCACAATTCTTGCAGAAGCAGGTAATCCTACTAGCATCTAACAATTAACTGATATTTCAGCTTGCAACTTCCTAAACTTATTACTGGTACCTCTATTCTAACACACCTCTATTCTAATACAAATAAATGAGGGGCAAAAAAATGGAAGAGTTTTAAATATAGTATATCCTGGAAATATATGCAAAGACCGATGAGTTTAACAACTTTTAGTCAAGTTAACTCACTTTCCATGTGCAGTTTCTCCAGAAAGCATAATTGCATCAGCACCTTCTCGAACAGCAATTGCGATGTCAGAAACTTCAGCTCTTGTTGGTGTAGGATGATTAATCATGCTTTCAAGCATATTTGTTGCCACTATTACAGGTTTATGCATACTACGACACCTTCTAATGATGTCTTCCTGTTAGAGTGACAACAATACAAGCTGTTATGTATGGAAATGGAAAATGATATTAATCCTAGAATCTAAACTTTACTTGTCTGGGCTGGACATAATAGCGCTATTGTCTATGACTCTGTAAGCCCCTCAAAAACAAATTATACAAATGGTTCTAAAGCCATTTAATGGTTTCAAAATCTACCTCATTGTATGATTCATGATTTTTTCTTTAATAGACCTGAAATTCAAAATGATCATTTTATTTGTTTACTAAGTTTACCATTGATCAACCTGACAGTCATACCCTGTTACATACTTAACTTGATCCTTCCAAAAATTTCTCAATTCCTGAGAGTATTGTGTTGACAACATTTTAACATTCAAACAATAGCACTTCATTCAAATTTTTTTTTTTTGAAAAAAAAATGATAATTGCATTTCTGTTAGACCTATATTCTCATATAGAGCAAAAAGGTGACACATATCAACACTTAAAATTACCTGCAATAAAGGGACCTCCTCAATTGGAAGTTCAGCTCCAAGGTCTCCACGAGCAACCATTGCCTATAATGTTCATGAGAACAGTCAAGTTTCAATTGAGAATCATACAGACATCATTCGTCCTCATAATGCTTTTGGAGACTATAAACAAATTCCAGAGAAAGCAAGAATATCAAAACAAACCCCATCAGAAGCAGAAATTATTGAGTGAAGATTTGGTATAGAATCAGCACTTTCAATTTTCACAATAACGTGAATGTCTGCATTGCAGCCTACAAGAGAGGTGGTGACAATACAGTTAGAAATGAAGAAAGCACAATTTATGTACACCCTTCATAATTTAACTGGAAACTACAAAAAGCCTTACCTTCCAGATAATCCTTCAACTCATGGACCACTCTAGCATCCTTCACAAAAGAAACAGCATAAAAATCAACTTGGTTGTCCACCCCAAATTTGATATCTTCCCAATCTTTGTCTGTAAACATGAGGTCACCATTCAAAATTTTGATTAACAAACAATACCAAACAAAACAGAACATGTTTAAGGAAGTAAAACTTCAAAGCAACACCATTACATCTAAAACAGAAAATAACCTGTTATTGATGGCAGAGTTGCACTTTTTCCACGCACATTTAAATGGCGCCTTGATTTTAGTTCTCCGCCATCAACTACTACACACTTAACCAAATCCTTTGTCTTTGCCTTCACAGCTAACGACATCATTCCACCTGGCATGTAAAGACACAGAGCAACTCATTAAGTTACATGTACGAGTAAAAACCTGACAAAAATGTGTTTTTGATTAGTGAATACTTACTAGATACACTCCTTTGGATAGAAGTTTAATTACAATGCTTAATAAAGAGAAACATATCATGACAACAATTTTAACGACATAACCAATTTGTCAGGTTTTTTCAAAGTACTCATACATTAAATACACAACCAACAAACAGAAAGACGACATAAAAAAGATCATGTCTATTCCAAGAGGAAAACGATAATAAAACAATTGATGGCATCTTCGAGAAGAACAATTCATAGCATTTATTTCAATTGGTTCTAACTATACTGCCATACATTCAAAACAAAGATTCTATAACAAAAGACAAATCCCAACTTACACACACAATCTAACTCATGCACCAATTAGGGGCACCAAAATGGAATCTATTCTCACCATCTACCAATAGTATGTCTCCAACCTCCACATCGTTCACAAAGCCGTCATAGTTTACGCTAACAGTATTTTCTGAGCTAACTCCTCTTTTGATGGTGAAATTAAACTCTTGTCCCTCTTTAAGCTGTATTGGTTGGGGCACATCGCCACTTCTAACCTCAGGACCCTATATAAACAACAAATCAACCTTATCCCAATTAATGGCCAAAAAAGCTTTAATTCCCAATGTACAAATGGAAAACAAAATAGATAGTTGGAAACCAAAACAGCTAATTAAAGTTGGGTTTTGCTAAAACTTTCCTTAAATGCCATGGTTAATGTTACTTTTTAAAGAAAGAGTATCATCGCTCAATGCATTGGGAATAACTATATTAACCGTAGATTGCTTCATTTAACATGAAAATATGTCTATAAATGGATCGAATACTGAGGCAATGATTAATAACTTAATCGATACCTTAGTGTCCAACATAATGGCAATGACTTTGTCTTCAAATTGAGCATTGTATTCCTTAACGAGATCAATGGTTTTCTGATGAGAAGAATGATCTCCGTGGGACATATTCAATCGAGCCACATTCATTCCAGCCTCAGCCAGTTTCCATATCATTTCACGTGAGCTCGTCGAAGGACCGATTGTGCAAACAATCTTGGTTTTCCTCCGAGAACTCGAGTTCATTTTCACTTGGCCTAAAGCCCCGACGTTTAAGAGCTCAACCGTCGGGTTCAGCTTGTCCTGAAAAATTAAACAATTGAAAACAACATCCAAAAAAGAAGTGAAAAAAAGTGGTAAGGAAAAAGAAAAGGTAACTGACGGCGTTTAAACGGCCGTTTGAGGAGGTAAGAGTGTCGGTTTGAGCTGGAGTGATCTTCATGGATCTGATAGAAAAACTTGCATCTGCTTCACGGAAAAAGAGACGTCGTTTAGTCCGATGAATCCCGGATTCGAACAGAGAATGATCGGTAACGTTGCGGACAGACGATAAATCGGCGGCGGCGATGGAGGCAGCGTCGGTTAAAGAAGTAATCGTCGCCATTTGGAATTTGTTTGTGTTGTTCGGTTTGGAAATGGAACAGAAGAAGAAGAAGAAGAAACTGAACTCCTGAGAAAAGAGAGAGAGAGAGAGGAAAGTGACAGGTGGAGATTTTTAAGCAGACAAAAATGCCAGGAGCAGAGTGTTTGGCTGCTAACACACACACTTGCTCTCTCCAGATGCAAGACAGTTACGACTTAGGACTCGTTCTTCTCTGGTAAGTGTTTGAGGCGGGGAACATAAAAAACCAGCAAAGTGAGTCCCACTCGCGTCTCGAACTCCTTTTATGAAGAAATTAATTCCTTTCCCCTCACATTAAAGTGAAAACATCATTTGCATTTTTATACTTTGTAATGTCAAAAAGTTCAAATAAATCATACAAAGTAATTAGTGTTGCGTACGCTCGCTACGGAGCGAGTGGCTACAAGATTACTGGGGTGCCACGCGGCCACACCCTTGGGCACGGAGATTCTTTCTCTCCTCCCTATGAATCAAAGGAGAAAAATATCGTTACACACTATCTGCTTTACAACTCTATACGCAATGGCCGCTCGATCTTTGCCACATCTACCGGGCCTCCATCGAACGGATCAAATTCCAATACGTAACAACGTCAGTATGATATATCGGAGAGGGAACCCCTCATCTGGAAAGACAGAGAAGCTACTAAGTAATAGACACGTGGCCTTCAGCTGAAGCGAGTCCCATCTTTATCGGTATTCACTTCAGTACACTCAAGAGTCAGGTGTTATTTGGGACGCCAACACTGGGGATATTCTTCGCGTAAAGCGTTATTGGTCACGCGTTCCACGTCCTTTCACAATTAGCCAATAAAAAAGAAATATGAAAAATCATTTTTCACATATCATATTTATTTATTATATTTTTAAATTATCATTTTAAATATTTATTAATAATAAATATTTACTTAGGCCCACCGGGAAGCCTGGAAGGTGTATATTTTCACAGTAGTATTTCTAGTACCTAGGCCCACTTGGAAACCTGGAAGGTGTATATTTTCCCATAAGCATTTCAAGTCCTAGAGGACCACAAGAAATCAAGCGGATACCCAGGGAGTCACCAATATCCTTAATCTCCATCTGCTCTTCTCCCATGCTTAGCAGAGAAAATTGTACCTGGAATTGGGGTCGTTCTTGATGTAAGCCTTGGAATCACATCAACAACCAAAAGGAATTCTTAGTAGTAGCTACATGTTCAGGCATGGGATACATCAAAGTATTCTGTTTTAGTTAGATAGTTTGCCATTGAGGCTTAGCTTGGGTGGCAGTTTTGAGTTCAAAATCTAAGAGATTAAACATTACTGCTCTCTTCTTGTACACAAACCAAAAATAGAGCAGTGTCTAGATATCATCCATGCACTAAACTTATTGACATCCGTGATAAACTCAGCCATGTCCTCTATTAAGCATGAATATGCTGTCTGCAAATAGCTACCCACATATTTATAACTAATTAATTAACTGTTTCTACAAAATTTTGAATCAAATGAACAAAACGAAATAAAACCGCAAGCTTGAATCACGTTCTTCACTGAAACACCTAAACCCACTTATCCGTTTTTCTCTGTCATTTAACATCCTTTAGTGCTGGGATTTTGGAGGAGAAGGGAGGCAAAACGAGCCCAGACACTCATTATTCATGTCTTTAAATGTGGCTATCTTTCTTACTGGAGGCTTTAGGTAGTTGCGCATATGCATCCACTAGAAGCCGTGGCCATCAAGGAGATTAGAAACTCCAAAACATAGGGTTGGAATAGAGAGAGAAAAAAAAGTCACGAAACCAGAGATATGGCAGTAAGAGTGGGCCAAAAATGTGTGACAGTTTGAATTTGATGAAAACAAGAAACACAAGCACAAAAAGTAAAGCAAGTATAACTGTAGGGGCACTTGGTTTAAAAATAACACAAAGCAGGTGTTAGGGGAAACACGATATTTCAAGGTTGCAGTGGTTCTTAGTTTAGCTACATGAAACACAAGTAACTATAGCCAAACCAAGATTCCTCTTAACATGAAAATTAGAAATATATCTATATTATCTATACCTGAGCTGAACATAGAGGGACTCCTCTGGCTTTAAGGTAATCATAAATCTTTACAAGCAGTTTGGATCCATGATTGCAAGGCTACCTTGGTAATGATTATTCCAAGATTTTGAAAATAAGAAAAATAGTTGATTGAACAAAAATATCTCTTTACAATTTCAAAAATTACTTTATAAAATAATACTAAACCCATTATTTTCTCTCTCTCTCTTCCTCACTCCTTCCCTCTTTAATGCAATTCCATTTTTACAGCTTTTGATTACTGCAGGCTCGCTCCATTTTACAAAAATACCCCTTTGCAAAAAAATTTTTACTTCATTAAAAATATAGAAAACGAAAATATTTAAATATTATTTAATACATTTATATTATTTTGATATTATTTAAATTTAATAAAGAATATATTTTATCTTTTAGTATTAAATATTATTTAAGTATAAAAAAGGTTTAATTATCTTTTAATACAAAATATTATTAAATTATAATAAAACTATGTTTGCATTTTGGTGAAAATATTATTTAATTATAGTAAACCATATTTTGATTTTATTACCTATTATTAGAGTATTTTTATCTTTTGACAAAAAAAACTCTTTAATTTTATTAAAAAGTATTTTTGTCATTTACCACATTTTCCTTGATTATTCTTAAAAATATTCTTACCAACTAATCTTTGAAATAAATCATAATAATAATTCATATTCCATTTCATTCTTATACACCAAACTATATAATAGTTATTATTTCTTTATGCTATTCTTATGAAATAGTTATTTTATTCCCTTTCTATTCCCTTCCGCAAATTAAGTATGCCCTTTGCAAAAACCTTTCTAAATTTTTAAGGAGATATTTTTACAAACTTAATTTCATTTCAAAAACTTATTTAATTAATTTTAATTTTTTAATTTTGTCATTTCAAAATAACGATTAATTTTAAAATTAACAGAACGAGAATGTAAACAAAAAAAAAAAGCTTTGATCATTTGAAAATTTCAATTTTGTTCTCATTTCTTTTTCTCTCAAAAGCTTCATCTAAAGATAATTCAACTTCTTGTGGATCAATTGTTTATTTTAAATGTTTTGCGAATGTCGCTACTTCAAGATTTGATCGGAGCTCTTCCATTTGCTTCTTCAAGTTGTTGCCATATGCTTTGACCGTGCTTAACGGGTTCTCGACCTATGAGGGGAAGTGATGAAGAGAGTGGAAGCTAACAGGAGACATATGCTTTGCCATGTGCTTTGACCATGCCTAACAAGCTCATATATGAAAGTCTTGTACATATATGCATCCACAAAATTCGTGTCGAAACAAGACTTGAAAACTATTTGGAGCGTTTTCTTCAAATTTCGCTTCGAGAATCTATAACTTAACTCAAATTTCAAATTTCGCTTCAAATATAAAATTGAATTAGATCATCCAACTTCCTATTCTCTCAATTATCTTCGCTACCTCTAACAATCAATGCATCAAGATAACTTCAATATTTGAAGTCCATCTTTATGTATATATATATATATATATATATATATATAAACAATCGATCTAAATCTTCCATGCATATCTAAATAAATTTATGAAGTAGTTTTCATAATCACTTGTACAATATTTTTGGTACATGAGCACCATTTTCAACAAGCATATCATCGAATGTGCAATTTATTAAATATTAGTCAAATATCTTTTTTTATATAATTTTGTAATTTTTTTTTATTGATATGTTTAAATTTACAATTTTAAATATAAAATTGAATTAGACCATCCAACTTTGTTTTCTTAACATTTATGTTGAGCGCTAATTATTTCTGATTTTAAAACACAAATGTAAAGAGTCAAAGTGGATCGGAATAGATAAATTCTTTTAAAAATCAATTAATTCAGTTAATGAAATTTTTTGATCGACTTAACTCAATGAGAGAGAAATACGGCACGCTGGGTTCATAAGTTTGGACAATGCAAAACATATAAACCCAAAAGCAAAGACGAGATTGGTCGCAGGCCCAAGTCATAGTGGAAACAGTAACAGAAGCTGAGGAAGTTAGGGGTTTCTTGAATTAAACAAAGAGTCCAACCTAGAGAAGTTTTTTGGGCCCATCTTCACTCACAGAGTTTGAGACTTAACATGGTTCTCCTTGACCTTGTCTGCGGGAGAATTGGCCAATCGCAATGATGAATTGGGCATTAGACTCGTTCCTTGAAACATGAGGCTCCTACCGTCTTGTCTTTCCGAAGTCCGAAACCAATAAAAACAATCACTTTGGCAACAGATACAGCCGTACAGTATTAATCTCTCTCTTTCTGCAATTTTTTTCTTTTGTTCCATAACCTGCGAACACGAAGAAATAGAGCGACTCGGAAAAATGAAGCTCTCACTGAAGCTCCAAGATGACCAAAACCCTCGCCTAAAGGCCAAAATACCCATTTCCATATTTAGCCAGCCCTTCATTTCTAGCCTCACCACCACCACCCCAACCACCAGCAGAAACAAATCCTCTCAAGATACCTCCTTTTCTCTCTCCACAAATTTCCCTTCTGGCCCTTCTCTCAAACTGTTATATGCTCCCTCAACGTCCCCTAGCACCACAATTCCTTTCTCTCTTTCTCTGAAGTCTGGTCTGGCCTCTTTGGCTCACCAAAAGATTCCCCTCTTGTTTTCTCTGCTCAATTTTCTCTTTCATCCACTAAACCTGGAACTGTGATCCCCACTTTCTCTCTCCATTTCAAGCCCCAATTCGGCAACTTTGCTCTTCACAAGGCCACTTCATCAAACCCTAGCCTTGAACCAGATTCTGGGTCTGACTCCATTCCTGGAACCCGGTTCCAATCTGGGTCAACTTCAAATTCTGAATTTGGAAATGGGTTTGCCCTAGATGGGTCATCAGTTTGGCAAGAAGTGAAATTGGAACCTCGTAGTGGAGTTGATGATGGTCTTGAAACCTCTAAGCTTGGCTGTGGAAAAGGTTATCATCAAATGATGGGTTCGGTACAGATAGGTCATTGGTGAGGGAAGATGATAAGAAAGCTGGGGTTTTTGGTGGAATTGCTGTTAGAGCAAGAACATTGTTTCCTGTGACAAAAAGAGGGGTGGTGAATTTGAGGTGGGCTGTGAATTTGCCTTCGGATGTGGGGTCAAAAATGCCATATTTGACGGTAAACAAGATTGGGATTGAGAGGGTCGAGGAGGTTAAGGAAGTGAAGGAAGTGAAGAGCAAGAGTATTGAAAGTAATGTGGATGATTTGGAATTGTTGAAAGGTATGTATTCATGGATGAAAAGGGATTTGGAAATGTTGGACAATGAGAATAGGGAAATGAAGCAGTGTCTTCATGATATGAGACTTGGGGTTTCAGCTAGGAATGTTCGTAGGGAAAGTGAGGGAATTGGGAGGAGGGTTTCCACACCTTCTGTGGAGAATTCAAACGAGTTTGAGCGATGGAGGGGCAAGAAAAGTGTTGCTGACGACAATGTGGAAGAGAAGTGAAGAAGAGTGTAAACAAGATGAGTGATGTGGAAAGTGAATTGCAGAAAGCTATTAAGGCTGCATCGAGTTAACGAGGTTTGAATTGATATTTGCTATGTATCATTTCCTTGCTTGTCCCTTTGAATGTTGTATATAGTGATTGAGCCTTTTGCTGTATGTAAAATGCGAGCTTTTGCTCTATTTAGGGATTGAGCTTATGCTCTTTAACTAAGACGATGCTACTCAGTGTAGTTATTCAGGGTAGTTTAACACTTTAGTTTCAAAGCATTTAAACTCCTCAGTGAATGGTAATGATTGCAGCAATGATGGATTCCATGGATTCTTCCTTTATGATAGAGTAATGAATATCATCGTTTGAGCATTAATCTGATTATGAAACTGTTTGGATCATCTGTGATGGTAGTTTGGCGTGGTAGATGGTGCAAAATTTGCCATGTTCAGTTCCTGAGAAGCTGATTCTATTTGGATACTAGCTGGTTTCTTCTTAATGCATATGGTAGACACTCTAATCATTTGATGCTCTCTCTATGTTAGTTGCAAGTTTCAGAAATAAAGCAATGAACGGAAACCATAGATGGAAGTTCCTTTGCCTTTGATCACAGAGGCCCTACGTGCCTTTGATTTCAGAAATAAAGCAATGAACCTATAACAGACGGATGGAAGGTTGTCAGTGATTAAAAGAATTGATTTCATTATCCTTTTTAGCTTTATCTATAACAAAACAAGAAATGAACACTCAATTCAGTCAAAAAATGATAATAGAAGAATCGATTGTAATAATACTCCAAATACCACCCTCTGGAGGTAAATTCATTCATTTCTATTCTTGCAGTTGATGCTTGCTACATATCAACTCCTCTTATTTGATCAAAGACAGTTATTTATCAACCCTAAACAACTACTCAATCCTTCTAATCTCAAAGCTGACCGGAAGGGTTGTCCATTGGGTGGTAAACATGGTAACTGGGCGGAAGAGTGATGCCAAATGTAGCACAATAACCTTTAACTTGATTACCAAATTCAGGAGTGAATCTTCCACGGTTAAAAACCCAAATCTTGCACCTGAGAGACAGACCTTGGATTGCTTCACAGCATTCACGACTGAGGCTTACCTTCTTTTCAACCAAGGACGCATAAACATCATGCAGGCACCCATCTGGTTTATTAATTTGTCCCCAACAGAGCCATGGGTTTGGCATGTATCGCTCTTCCCATCCAACAACCGAGAAAGCAGGCGTGATAGCCATGGCAAATGCCAGGGTTAGGAGGAGCACAAGGGTCTGTTGAAATGAACCCATCGCAAACAGACAGAGACAGGTTGGTTTCTTCAGAGATCTTTGTTTTCTTGGAACAAAGGAAGGTTTTTAGCAAGGGTTTTGGGTTGGAAATTTATAGAAGTTCTTAAATTACGGAGCTTGAAGTAAACGTTGTATATTGCCAAATTAGTCAGGTTGCAGCCATGAATGAAGGTAAGTTCAAAGGACCTTGAATTTGTTGCAGTTTCTTGTAGAAGTTGCTGTTATGTAAAAGAATGCTGGTCATTTAAATGCCATTAATAAAGGTAATTATACCATGAAAGACCTTTAGTCAGTTAAGATGGTAGAATAATGTCTCACTTGTTAACAGTGTCGCTCGAACTTACACATAGATCGGTGCATAAAGATTCTCCTATTGCTGGGCTCAAAATGGGTCGAGTCACTGGAAAGTGGAAAATGCAAAGAGCAAGTGGGCTCATATACCGTATTGGGCTCAATCTCTTTCCAGTTATAGCACAAGCAATTGAGCCTCAAAGCTTTATTTTTTGGCTACTGATGGAGAAAGATTTCTGATTTGCAGAACAAAATGGCAACAGGTGGAGGAGGAGGTGGAAACGTGAAGGGGACAAGTAGCAGAGAAGGCACAGCAAAATCAATTGTGACTGAACAGATTTCCCAGGCTGTACAATCCACCTCCAATCTCCTCCACCTCATGCAACAGTCTTCTCCTTCTCAGGTATTTCTTCTTGTATTCACCTACTTTGTATACTACTACGAGTTATCAGGGTTACTATATTTATTCTGTTTCTGTTTGTAAATTTTAATAGCTCAATCAATTCTCTTTGCTTGAAGAAAAAAGAAATATTTTTGTTTCATAGTTTGACTTGTGATGTCAAGGATGAATCTGATGAAATGGGGCAATGGCGAAGTGGGTCGTGTCTTAGACTCTTAGTTGTGGATAAAAGTACTGATTTTTGGGTTGGGTTTTGGTTAGAATGATACTGTTTGAATGAAAATTTTGATGGGTTAGGATTTGTAGATGAAAGCTAATCATTATTTGATTGTTCTTTACAAAAAAAAAAGAAAAGAAATTGTCATCTTCCTGGCCTAAATTTCCCTCATAAGGAAGAAGCTTCTTGTCTATCATAGTCTTCACTTGTTAATTTTTTTCTTAATATGGGGCTTCAATGATGTGGACATGACCTACAAAATGTGTTTGTTTTATCTATAGTATATATTTCTTCTTATAATTTGACAGATTTTTCGGTCTTTGTCTTGCCTGGGGTCATAATTTAGTAGAGACTGTTTTTGCAATGAATCCCTAGCATCCATTTAATCACACGGAGGTGGGAAAATGGTAAATTACAATAAACTGATGGACTCCTTGAAGGATCTGACTTTGCACAAATACCTATCCATCTCCTGATATAGTGTCCAACAATGCTGCAAACTTGGTTAATGGCTCTTGGAATGCTTATCTTACAAATAGACAGTTGCTGAAGCAAATACTTGGATAGAAGATAAGCAAAATCATTGATTTTACAATTAGGGCAAGGTGTATATGGTGGTTGATGTGCCCATGCTGCTTGACTCCATCTTTTGATTTTGTTGGCTTGGTAATAATATCTTTGACCACTTTGTATCTGCAGACCCAACTAATGAAGCTTCCAAAAAATCTTTTGGCCAAAACCCCTACAATCAAGAATACTGGGCAGGTGTCTGATTCCTCCATACTGTATTAAACATATATATTAGATATCTATTGCAAAATTTTGAAATTTGATCTCTATCTTTCCTGTTTCATTGATGCAGATGTTAGAGCAGATGCCTAGGGTGGTTTCAGCGCTTGATGCTCACATTGACAGTGGATTACAGAGGTTGAAATCATGTACACCTTCTGCTATTTAAAATTACTCTATTTCTTACATACAAGAAACATTTTAAGTTGTGTTGCAGTTGGAGATCACTGGTCAGGGAATTGATAAGAATTCAAAAGGGCTGATTAATTTAATTTAGATAAGACGTAAAATTGCATGAAAAATGTGTAGGAAACGTTTAATAAAAGTGTAACTAAATCAAATAAGGAATAGATAGCAGTTAATGCCACTCAATGAAGATGCTGTTTACGTAATTACCTAGATGGATCCTCTACTCCCAGCTATTATTATGTGTATAAGGCTGACCATGAAATTAAAGAACTTGTGCAGAAAGAGAATTCCCTCTGTTACCTATTCTTAATAAGCTATAGGATTGTGTTTCCAATTTTCTTGGCTTATTTTAGTTACATATTCTGCAGTTTTCCGCATCTGAAAACAGTAATTCAGTTACTTGAAAATATGGAAAGCTGCCATCTTAGTTCACTGTCCCAAGCACATTTCTCACAAGGGGTATGGCCTCTCTCATGTTTACATGTATATATAATATCGCTCTAGGCTGAATTCTCATTTCAGTTAGAGCTGTTTGTGTTAATAACTTTTAATTATTTGTGAAATGCTTTAAAAGCTGGAGTTTCAGTTGATTTTCTTTCTGTGAATTCCATTTTATCCCAGGAATCTCAGCAAGCAAATCAGCATCCCAAGGTTGGTTCACCGCCCTAATATTCTAGCCATGCTACGGGGGTCTCAGCCATTAGTTTCTCTAGTCATGTCAAACTTTCTTACTGTAGCTACAACCAATTCTTGAGCGGTAACTAGTACATTAGTTATTGACTACTAGACTAGAGAATATGTTCTATGTACATCAAATGTCATAGTATTTCTCATTGCTGTCTGTATACATTGAATATGATAAGAGAATGGTTCCTGTATTGCTTTCTCCATAGCATTGGAAACACGTTTCAACTTTCTACCTTGTAAGGATGGCCACAAATTTTAAAGGGGAAATGAGCTGTCTCATCATTGTTTCCATTTTTATTTCTTCTTTTGAAACAAGGAGGCATGGATGCGCAAGCTACGGTCTTTCTCTCATTCATGCTTTGAATCATCGAGGGAAGGCAGTGTTTGCAGAAAGGTCAAGAAATGCTGGTTCTAGTATGGCTTTAGTGTTACTTATATCCCTAGATACATGCAATTAAAATGTGGTTGGGGTTTATGTGTGTGAAATGGATGAATTTAGCAAAAATCCAAAAAAAGAAAAAAAATTCTTCCCAGTGTGTATGATTATGTGAAAAATTCATTTCACCCTCCAAAAGTTTGAGAAAATCACTTCTCACACTTCAGCACAATGAGAAAATGATTGTGTGAAAGTGCATCTGAGCCACCGTAGCACACTATCAAACTGACCTGAGAATTTGAAGAGGATAAGTTCTTCAGTGTTATCCACTTGCCCAGCCAGCAACAAAACAAAAGATAATTTTCTACTTTGAGAATGAAACATACAAGGAAAGAAACCAATGACCTTGGATAGGGTTGCCAACTTGCCTTACCTGGTAATCACCAATTTCATCCTGTCATTTCCCTTTTTTTGGTACATAATCTGCCATTTCTTTTCTCTAATTAATTTTATCAAATAACATCATTGTCATGAATCTCAATTTTTTTATAATATTATTATGCATGTGTTTTTTTTTTTTTCAGAACGAACATCCAATTTAAGACCAATTGACAAAAAATAAAAAGTCCTTACAATATTTATAAAATCAAGATATTATCAATTTAACAAATATGGTATTAGCACCGTTTTAATACTTTTCTTTACATATAAGGATTAGGAACATATCATGTTACATGAATCAAGAAAAATGTAAATCCATTGGAAAAACCCAACAGAAGGGGAAGCGTCCATTTTAAAATTTTAAGATGTATAATTAATAATAAATAGAGAAAATTTTATTATATTTATATATTCCAAATATTTTCAATTTTACAGACATTTACCAAACTAACGCGTGTTAGACTTACACTGTTCTTTCCTCCTGTCCTATCTTAATCAAAGGAAAGCATGCCAAAAGAAATTCTTTTTCCAGTAACATAATGGAATAAATCAGCAGAAAAATTAGACTGGGAATTTCCTGGTCCAGAGAATCGTAAGCTAAACGTTTGACAAGGAAGAATCGAGATTGTAGCCTGTTCAAAGCTAATTCTTGCATCCACCGCCCAGTTGAACTCAACTCTTTCCACGTGGCAGTGGCCCCATAGACTGGTCCTTCTTTCGCCCTCGTCGTTCCATGTTTTTTATTCCAAAAGAATGTGAAACACATTTTTTCTTGCTGACTTTGACTCCCAAAACCCACGTCCAACCGTGTTAGCTTGGAATGTCCAATGCTTTAGTCATTTCAAATCACTTGAGAGTATATTTCTACAAAGTACCATACATATAACTTTAAAAAAAAAAGCCGAGTTAATGAATATTTTAACTCGATTTTATTTATTAATTGAATAAAATTTTAACTGTAATTTTATAAAGATTCATTCACATTATTAATTAAATTCAAATTTGTTCCTCAACCGTAATTAATTGATTATGTAAACAGAAAGAAATACGTTTAGTTTGATATAGAGAAGTTTAATTTTTATTCTTTAATTATAATCTAAATGAGATTAATTAAATACATGAATTTTTTATTTTTTAACCTCTCTCCATCTCCCTGTGTCTACCTTTTTCTTTACCTAATAAATTTCTAAATAAAGCACGTTCTCTAGTTATGATAAATGGTAACAAAAAAGTTGTCTAGGTTCAATTCCAGGAGAGGACTAGGCAAAATAGGAAACGGCGTCGTTGCTTTTACCATAAATACGCCACCTTACCATAAAAGAATGAAAGGAAAGGTGTTTATAAAGAGTAGCGTGAGACTCCAAGTGTGGTGGAGGAACAGTAGAAAAAAAAAAAAAAGGAGAAGAGAGCCACAACGCGTGGCCATTTCAATAGAATGCCACCCCACCTTCAACCCTTCCACCGCTCCTTCGCCGCCGCTTAAATTTTTCTCAAAACCGCCAATACCCGCGGACCCCAATTTACAGGAAAGGGTGTTTAGCGTGAAGAAAGAGAATGGTTTCGCTGTCGATTCCTTCGCCTGCTAAATCCTCGTCGTTTTTGTCGTCCTCTTCGTCTTCTCTCTTCGCTCGTTGCTCTCTTAGCCACAAGGGATTCGCTTTCAATGAGCCTCGTTCTCGTATCTGTGCTGCTAACAGCTTTGTAAGCTATATTTACTTCTTCTTTTGTTTTTAAGAAGAAAAGATATATTTACAATTTCTTTTTCTATGTCGTTAAGGTTCTGAAGTGAGATTTATTATCTTTGTTTATGGTTGTCTGTCTGTCTTTTTCTTTCTATTATTCTATAATTCTGTGTTCGTTTATGTATTTCTGTTGAAATTTAAAATTATTGGTATGTAATGTGCTTCACGTGTGGGTATGTAGTGAAATCGACAGTGCAACGTTTTCTTATTTATTTATTTATTTATTTTTGTTCGTTGAGACATTTGTTTTCCTTTTGATTCGTCAACAACTATTTTCCTGTAAAAGAAAAATTTTTCAACAAAAGGCAAAATTTTGGGTTTTTTTTTTTGTATTTTTGGAGTGATTTTAAGATTTTATTGATGTTGGTGCTTGCTCTGGCTTTTTTCTTGTTCTTTTTCTTTTTATATATATATACTAGAAATGCGAACTGCCTCAACCTTTGAATTATGGGAATGGGAAGCCAACCATTCCAATCCTTAATGAAAGGACACTGCCCAAGTTCTTGGAATCTGCTCGAATGGAAACGGCTGTAAACAGAAATGGCGCCAAGCTCAAACTGTTTTCTGGCACGGCCAATCCTGCACTTTCTCAGGTTATTACGTTACCATTTTGTTTAAACTGTATTGCTTTGTATAGGATTCTTTTGACTGGTGGCACTTTCAATAAGCATTTAGATAATGATAAGATTAATAAGTATTTCATGATGTACACCTTAATCAACTCTTGACTTTGCAGCTGCTGGGTGATAGACTAATAGTGTGAAAGTGGTACTAAAACTGCCGTAATTCTGAGCAAAAGATAAACTTTTTGACTATTTGGTATAAGTTCATTGCAACTTTCATTTGAACCAGATAATCTGTTGCGCATGTTATGCCTGCTTGAATGGCATTCCTACAAATTGTCCTAAATATATGGATGTATGTTGATCTTAATAGTCCATTTTTCAAATTCCTTTTAGAGCATGTTGTATCATATCAAGAGTCACGTATCTTTCTTGGTTTAACCATTAGGATTACTCATCTTCTCTGGGCTTGAGCTATAATTCGTTGTTACATTTCTTGGAACTTGTGTTTGCTCACTCTGTTATTTGTTTCAGGAAATTGCTTGGTACATGGGCCTGGAGCTGGGAAAGATCAATATAAAACGATTTGCAGATGGGGAAATTTATGTTCAGCTGCAAGAGAGTGTTAGGGGATGTGATGTATATTTAGTGCAACCAACATGCCCTCCTGCAAATGAGAATCTCATGGAGCTTCTCATAATGGTGGATGCTTGTCGGAGAGCATCGGCCAAAACTATCACTGCAGTGATTCCGTATTTTGGATATGCAAGAGCTGATAGAAAGGTAAATTTAAATGCTGTGTATTTGGCAATTAATTATCTGGGATGAAAATACGACTATGTATGGAGACCTCAGCTGCAAATTGGATAAATCAAAATCTAACCATCAGAGATTAGCCTAGTCTGGCCACTTTTGTGTTATTCATAATATAAGTATCAGTAACAAAATTGTGCTTTATTACATAAGAATTATAGTGGGTGAATCAGTGCTCTTGCTTCTCTCCATTTTTATTACAATGAGGCACGAACTTCTGAAGCTTTTGAGGAATATTGTATTCTTTAGAGGATACTAAACTATTTTCTTCTTTGTCTGCAATATCATTTTCAGACGCAAGGGCGGGAATCCATTGCAGCCAAACTTGTTGCAAATCTTATCACAGAAGCTGGTGCAAACCGTGTTCTTGCTTGTGACCTTCATTCTGGACAGTCCATGGGTTACTTTGATATTCCAGTGGACCATGTATACTGCCAGGTATATAGTCATGAAATTCAAACTTATAATTGTTGACTGTCAATGACTCAGTGATTAATGATCTTCTTTATTTGGCTTTTCAAAAAAAATGATCTTCTTTGTTTGTTCTGTGGACGGTAGCCTGTGATTCTTGATTACCTTGCCAGCAAGAGAATCTGTTCTGATGACTTGGTAGTGGTTTCACCTGATGTTGGTGGAGTTGCAAGAGCACGAGCTTTTGCAAAGAAGCTCTCAGATGCACCTTTAGCCATTGTGGATAAAAGGCGTCATGGACACAATGTTGCAGAGGTAATGCTTTCTCCACAACTCTGCTGTCATTGTCTTTTTCCCATGTTGATTTCTGCTACTATATTTACTCTTGTTCCGTGGTTTTTGAGATACAGTTATTAGATGTTAATGCACTATGTTGTTTCCCAGAGATATGGAAGTACGATTGGCAGCTATAATGGGGACAATTAGTTAGAAACATTTTGCACTCGCTTCCCACATTGAGTTGACCTTTAGGTTTACCCAAAGTGTTTGAACAACCATTGAAGTTAATATGTGATATCAAGAGGTTTCAGTCTAGGCAGCAATCTGATGTCTGCAGCCAATAACAAGTTTTAAAAGCCTCAGTCTGTGTTTTATCTCTGGCTTACTTCTATGGTTGCCTAATTGTTATCGTGCAGGTAATGAACCTTATTGGTGACGTAAAAGGAAAAGTTGCAGTTATGGTGGATGATATGATTGACACTGCTGGTGAGTGAAAATAATGTCAAAACGGCATGCATAAACCTATTCTTATTTACAAATACAGACATTAGTTTTGCTTATCATGATGTATTTGATAGTTAAGTGCTGGTAAATCAGATTTATCATTTTAGTAAAGTTTTCTTCTCATAATGTTCTGTAAATTGTTTTCTTATCGTTTTGGAAAAGAAAATTTGATTATGGTTTTCCTTTTCTGCTCTAAAAATGCTTCTTTTTAACCATCAGCTTTCTTTTAAACCCAGTTTATGGTAACTAGCTAATTTTCCATGGTTTCTAGGAACGATTGCAAAGGGGGCAGCACTTTTACACCAAGAGGGGGCAAGGGAAGTTTATGCGTGCTGCACTCATGCAGTTTTCAGGTTTTAACTTGCTTTTGCTGAACTAGGTGCAAACTTAGATATTGTGTCATATTTATCAACCTTATGATTCATATCATTTCCTTTTCCCCTTTTTTTTCCTTGGCAGCCCTCCTGCAATAGAGAGGTTATCAGGTGGCCTTTTTCAAGAAGTAATCATTACAAATACACTTCCAGTGGCAGAGAAGAACTACTTCCCTCAGTTGACAGTTCTTTCTGTGGCAAACCTGTTGGGTGAAACCATTTGGCGTGTTCATGATGATTGTTCCGTGAGTAGTATTTTCCAGTGAAATCAGATAGGAACTCTCAAAGGTGTCATCTCCTTCAAATTCATGCCTTTTGCAACCTAATGCCTCGGCTCCAGTGGTAAAAGTGGGTGTCGTCAGATAGGAATAGGTCTTAGATTCCAATCTTCCTTGAGTCCAAGGGGGATGGAGAATCAACACATGGGTCTCAGATCTCGTTGCTGCTTGCTCTTTGCATTATTTAGTTAAACCTTACTTTCATATGTCTGGCCAAATTGCCTGTCTTTGTTAGTATTCTTTATCAAATGGATATCTTTTGTCCTTGCTTCCAGCCTAAGTTATCTTAATACTTCTTCCAATTACCTCACAACATCATCATAACTTGAATCCCTGTCTCAAAACCAAACTCAACAATACTGCAAACTGGCTGGTTCAAAACTTACAATACAGCTGTCTGGTACTTTTCTGCAGGATTTGTTTCTCTTTGGGGCAGATTTATCTGACAACTTCAAGATTATATCCAAAGTTTTCTTTTCCAGCCTACATGTCTGAATCCTTGTCAGACCAGTTTGAACAGCACCAGAATCATGTAAATTCATTCTTGTTGATTGGATGGCTGTCTATTTTCCCTTTTGTTTTTTGTTTAGACTGTACATGTATTTCCTCCAACTTAAATCCAGAACAGAGTTTCTCTTCTGGCCAATTGAACAAATTGTTAAAGGCATGGTTTGCAGGCTTATTTAAATAGTTCAAAATAGAAAAATGAATTGGCTATGCGTCAAATTAAATAATGTGATTAATGAATTATTTTCAAATTGGATATGCAAAAGATTAAAGTTTATAATCGATTACACCGTCTAGTGTATAAATGTTACACATTAACAATGCATCAATTATAAAACTGAATACATTTTCAAACAAAAATTCAAAAGCCATAATGATTTTTATATTTGGACCAACTCCCAGCAAGTTTCCGGAAAAAATTTAGGAAATAAATAAAATTTTCCAAAAATCCATTCCAACCGTTGGTTTTATGAAGTATTTTTATTTTTATTCTATTCTACTTAGAAAATTTGCTTAAAGTATAGTTTCTTCCTAAACATAAAAAGAAATAAATTCCAAATATTCAAATCCTATAAAAATTTGGAGTCCTTAAAAGATTTTACAAACCCTAAGGCTTAAATCCAATATAAGCCCAAAGCCCATAGCTTTACTCTATTTTTTTATTTTTAATATTTAGAAATTCGTTATTTGCTACAAACTAGGGTTGTCTCTCTGCATCTATAAATGCCCTTTTCGCTGCTCAGCTTCTTCCATTCTTCAGCTTCGGTGCAGAGGCTTGCCTCTGATTTTTTCTCAATTAAATGCTCTCCTTGTTCTCTTTCTAGATTCGTTTTTATTTTTTTGCTTTGCTATGTGTAGTTAAACACAGAATCCTTTGGGTTTCTTTGAAAGTGCAGTGATGAACGTTGTTTTGTGTACCAGAGGAGTCTCCTGTGACGGTAACACAATCCCTCTAAGAAGTTCTGAGCTTACCCTTTTCATTAGTCTTGCTTTCCCTTTTTGGATTTTGTTCTAAAATTTTTGAAGGTTGTTAAAACGGGATTTCTTTTTAATGGGAGGAGTAAAAACGACGTGATGATAGAAATTCAATGGTCTGTCAATCCACTGATCTAACAGTTTGATGTTACCTTGAAGTTCCGACAGGTTCTGATCGCCCTTTATTCCTTCCCCTTTCTCTTATAAATTTCCTGGTCGTTTTGATTTGTTTGTGTCTAGGGTTTGAACTTGTTTTTTCTGATTTGTGTTATGGGGCATGTGATGAATCTCATTTTATTAATGGGTAATTTGCGGCTGAATTGTTTCTTTGATGCTAAATCACCTTGGAGACCTGATGCCCATTTTTTTTTTGTATGTTTGAAAGCTTTCTTTTGTTTAGGATTTGAGGCTCTCTGGATTCCTTTATCACTAGAGTTATGAAGGCTATATGCATATTAATCTTGTCTTATATACTAGCATAGTGGAAAAGGCATTTGTAGGGTTGGGCTGGGATTTGGGTTTGATTCCCATTCCTAAATAATTTTTAACTGCAATAGATGTTGATGGAACCTTTTTCTGTGTGCTAAGGCATTCAATGTTCAGTTTTCTTTAAGTCGTTTTATCAATTAAACTAATTTTCCATTATGGCAATGCGCTTGGGCAACTGAGGAATTCTTTTCTTTAATGGGTAATTTGCGTCTGATAATCTTTTCCTGATGCTATCACCTTGGAGAACTGATGCCCTTTTCTTTCATTAATGTTTTTAGTTAAGAAAACATTTTATAATAATAAGGAATGCCCTACTTGAATTGTTCTTCAGATTGCTCATTAGGTTGTCATGTTGTGTTCGAATCCTGCATCTCAAGTTCTAACATCAAGATGTGTGTTAGCGTGTCTCTAGAAACCAAGCATTCCTCTGTCTTTGTGTTCTTTTTTCCCTTTTTGGTCAAAGCAATATTGCTTTGATATTTTTTATGTATATCACTTGGGTTTAAAACTAAGAATGGAAATGAAATTCAAAACTTTTCCTTTCTAAATTTGAAGTGTTTCAGAGAGTTAATCTAAAGCCCGTACAAGGTTATTTGAAAACATTAATAACTGGTGGTAGGGATTTCATTTAAAGTTTAGCATGTTCTAAGCATAAGGTGATTAAGTTTATGCCTTGATATATATATATATATATATATATATAAAAGAGATAGGTCATGCTAAATTTGAGATAGGTCATGCTAAATTTTGAATGAAAATCCTTTCATTTAGTTGTTATGAATGTCAATGTTCCAAATGGTTGAGGTTGTAACTCAAAAACATGATGACTACATCAGTATTAGAGAGGGTTTATGATTCCTTAGAATCATTTGGGGCATGAAAATAGCACTCTAACAAGAAATTGTGTTTTATCAGATTGAAAACTCTAAAGTAAAGGTAAGCTTAGCAGGTTTTGCTATAACACTTATTAGCAAAATCTAGGCTTAGCTTCTTCTCACATAGTATGTAAAATATCAAAATTTTAAATGAAAAAGTTTAATTAGGAAAAGTCAAAATAGAATTATCTTTGGAAGGCAGTGAGTAGTACCTGTGTTTTGACTTGTGAGTGGCAGATGATTGTATCAGCTTACTGATGCAATTTAGAAAGTTTGTTGCTCACAGGAGATTGTCAAATTTTACTTGAGTACTAGGATTCTGCCAGGGGTTCTTGTTAAGGGTTATCTTTTGAAAGATTGTATTGTCATGCCCATGTTCATATGTGAGTTTTTCAGGATAATCTCGAATGCTCCTTGTTCTCATGCCTTCTTGACAAACTGTGATTTGGCCGGATCTTATGATCAGCAATCGTGCCTAGAGACTCAAAAGACTTTTATGCTTCAGTTTTAATATGGGGTGATTGTTTATGATAGATTTATTAGGTTGCTTTTTAAGTGTTATGGACTTTTTGAGGTCTCTCGCCTGGCTAGTGTATTGTAAATGATGTGAGAATTATACCAAATTTAATTTGATGTTTTACTTCACTGTGCAACGGATGTTCTGAGAATTCATCTTCTTTTGCACTGCATTCTATTTTGGAACAGAGTACTGAAATGATAAATGAGCCTTGGAGCTATACGGTGAATCAAATTTCTTAATCCGATAATCATGTTAATGGCAACTGTACCATCAGGCTGAAGCAGATTCTTTGAACCTTTGCCTTTACAACTTTATGTAACCGAAATTTTCTTTGCATTTTGGATAAACTTATGGTAAAAATAGCTTCGAAGTGTTTAACACGAACAGAAGAGGTGATATAAGGTGTGACTAAGAGTATGAGTCAGAGCTTCATTTGTTCTAAGAGACCTTTCCCATCAAGTTTGCTGGTTGTAGTCATTTTAATGAACTCCTCATGTGACATGGTCCTGTACTTAGCTTCGTTTGCCTTGACAAGATCAGGCAAAGGACCAATCTTGGTTTTTATGTTTGGACTATGAAATGCGGCAATTGACAGGCGCTCTGTAACCGGGTTCACAACAGCTCTGTGTTCTATGCTTTTATATTCTCCATTGCTCATAATCTGCAGTCATAAGATCCCTTCCCTTAGGATCATTTTATGTGCAGTCTGTCAAAGTCTTCAAGTCTATGAAACGACAAATATATTACCTCAATAACGTCTCCAATATTGATGATAAATGAACCAGGGAGGGGTTTGACCGGCACCCATTTGCCATTTTTCTTGATTTGTAATCCGTCGACTTCATTAACCTGAATCAGCAGTGTTAAGGCTGTGGCGTCAGAGTGTGGTGCTAAGCCAAAAACCTTGTTTGCCTGTGCACAAGGTGGATAATAGTTCATTCTAATGCCTTGTGTCCCATCCTCAAAGAAGCTTGCAAGCGTCTCAAGATCAGTTCCCAGATTCTTCGCCATCAGCCTTATGAGATGAGTTGTAACCTTTTGTAGCTCTGTTGAGTATTTCTCCAAGGTTTCTCTGGAAACAAACAAAGTAGCGGACCATTAATACTTTAATTAATTGACTTTATTCGATAAATCGCATGCCGCTGTGCTGGTTACCTGAATGAAGAGGGGATGGTAGGCCAGAATCTCATATTTCTTACGGGCGCGGGCAGGGGAAGAAGGAACAGCATGTCACCCCAATCAAGCTTTTGGTCTTCTGACACTACAAAGGCTTGGCCGTAGCCTTCAATGTTATTTGGTAGCTGTGCACAAGCCATCTTCTCCTCCAGTGGCAACTCAAAGAACTCCTGTATGTCAATCTTCATCTTCTCAATCACTTCATCCCCCACCCCATGATTGATTAACTGTTCCACCATCAACATAAACTACCAAGTCGATCTTTGTATAAAATTACAAAGTCATCAAGAAATATATACACAAATTAGGTACCTGGAAGAAGCCCCAGTCCTTGCAAGCCAAATGGAGTTTTTCCAGTTCATCATCATGGCCAAGCTTGCTCATGTCAATCACTGGGATCTCAAGGGATTCATGGAGAGCAATCACATCGAACTCAACCTCTGGCCTGATGTACCTGGATGGGATGTCTTTCAGGTTCTTGGACACAAGAGCTTGGACATTCTCAACAGGTAATGAACCACCAAATCCATCTCTGTTGAGCTCCTCCGATTCCATTTCTCAAATTCTCATTTGACAAAAGTTCTGTTTCCTGTCTGTAATTGTTGAAGAGTATAGTCAGTGACATTGTCAGGTAATTTCTAAGCGTTCGGTCCAAGCATTTGTCGTTTATGAATCGAGTACATCCTTTTTTCACTGCGCTTTAAGACTTTGCCGCCCTTGACGCATAACATCAAACCCCAAATGTCATTATTTGCTTGTAGAATTTCTTTATCGGTGACACCTAGCACTTTAGTTTGTAACCACTCCTTTCGAGATCTGAAATTATTACTAGGAACAAGAATATTATCTTACTAGATCAACAACAGAAAAAATGGAATTCACGATTTTTATATTAAAATAGGGTCTGATAAAATATTTTTAAAATAAAATAAAATAAAATAATTATTACATAATTTGACATAACAAATGACATAAGATAAATATAATTTTTATGCTTAATTCTGTGTTTAGTTAATAAAAATAATTTTAGAATTAATAGATGAATAGAGGATAAAAAAATAAAAATATTTTTTATTATAATATATAAATATTTATATTTATTTTATTTTTTAAATATTAATAAATGATAATTTATTAAAAATATTAATAATTGATAATTAAAATATTAATATTTTATTTAATTTAAATATTACTATGATTTTTTTCTTTTATTTTATTTTTAAATATTAATAATAGATCATTAAAATATTAATATTTTATTTATAATTTAATCATTAATATTTTAAAATATTAATATTTAATTTAATTTAAATATTATTATGATTACTTTTTATTTTATTTTATTTTTAAATATTAATAATAGATCATTTAGTTATTAACATTTTATTTATAATGTAATCATTAATATTTTTAAAATATTAATATTTTGTTTATAATTGAAATATTATTATGACTATTTAATTTAATTTAATTTAATTTTTAAATATTAATAATTGATAATTTATTTAAAACATTAATAATTGATAATTTAATTATTAACATCTTATTTATAACTTAATCATTAACATTTTAAAATATTAATATTTTATTTATAAGGGAAATATTATTATGATTATTTAATTAAATTTTAATATTAATAATTTATAATTTATTTAAAATATGACTAATTGATAATTTAATTATTAGTATTTTATTTATAATTTAAATGTTATTATGCTTAATTTATTTTTTTATTTTTTAAATATTAATAATTTATAATTTATTTTAAATATTAATAATGGACTATTTAAATATTAATATTTTATTAAAAAGTAGAATTAAAGGAAAGGAGGATAAGAGAGAAAAAATAATATTTTATATAAATAGAGTTATAATTTTTTAAATTTATAAAAAATATTCTGATCTTTATCATTTTTGAGTTTATTCTCAAATCATGAAATAGCTAATACCATAAAGAAGGTGGCGTTAGCTATTTCTTAGTTTTACAGAAATGGCTATCCTTTAAATTATTTCACAGCCAAATAAAACAACAAAAGTCCCTTTGGAATATAAGGGGAGGGTCTCTAGTTTGGAGGCTAAGGTGCTTTAGAGTTCAAGCATAGAGCTCTGCTGTCATTCTTTTGTTAGATTGCTAAATGATAAAAGCACAGGTAAAGATCCTTGTTGACAGGGTCAAACAAATTCGTCATGAAGGTTTACTTGTTCTTGAATTCGAACGAATTGCATACCCCGGACAGGTTAAGGGCGTTCTAACTTCTGCTAATAATCTTACCTAACTCGTTAATTTCCCTAGGTTCACCAAGGAAAACTGATGCTTTGCTTTATGGCAGGCTGATCCGAAGAAGGAAAAAAACTTCATGTCAAAGAATTGTTTCTTTTTTCGAGCCTTTTGACCAATCTCATCCGACATGATCACCAGCTTGGAACCGTGCTAACTAATCTAACTGATATCAATTCTTACCCTGGAAGTAAGTAACCATAGACATGAGGTGGAGAATCAACGACCAATTATCCATCAGTGGTTGAGATATGCCTGAGATTTTCATAGGTTTGGTATAAAATAGAATCTTTCCAGAATTATTTAGGGATACAATCTTATGTGAATATTACTGCAAGGTGAACTGTAATCTAAAAGTAGCAGAACCTAAGGGTTAACAAGCCTACAATTCTTTCTGATTTCTCCTTCATTTCCAGTCAGAACATTTATGTTGCCCATCTTGACAACTGAATTGGCAAATGAACTAAAGAAAAGCTCTTGATTAGAGGCATAAGCCCACACCAGCTTTATTATCTCCCCTTCATGGTCTTCTGTGACCAACACATTATCAGATCCTAGCAAACCTTTTCCTCCAAGAATGTTGATGAAATAGTGATTGTCAAACTTTTCAGGAGTTGAGAAATCAAGCGGTGCAATCGCATTGTCCCTTCCAGAACTCGGGCATATGGACTGTAGGGCTCTTCGGAAAGTCCTGTACCTTTTGTACTTGTCATACTTTTCTTCTATGTTTATGTCGTAGACCCTTTGTCTGAAACTCAAACATCTTGCCTTTCCCATTGTATGGCTACCTGTTAACATTTAGCACTCGAAAAATGGTAATGTGTGAGGAAGCTAAAGTTGGAATTCTATATAAAGCATGAAGATTTGAGCTGAAAGGAAGGTGAGAAACCAACAATTACCCTATACATAGTAGTTTTTTATGCTGAAATTGGGATTTGATCTTAATTGGAAGAGCATACATGAAAGATTGAGAAAGTTACCTGACAAAGCAACCAAGTCTTCTATGTCAAGACCCTGCTCGTTGAAGTTGGCAATGAGAGTCTCCAGAGAGGAATTTGGAGCTGGAATGAACTGGTTTGCACCATCTAAGCTTGCTTTCAGGGAGTCTTTTCTCCCTAACCATACTTTCCACCTTGGGCCCCCTCTCTAATGAAACAAAGAACGCCTCTGTTACGAACATGGGATATATCATGGTTGCATCAGCTACGTTAGCCAACGTGTTTACCCTATTTTAAATTAATATGTTTAATAAAAAACAAAGCTAAAAAGCTTGTAGCCTTTACATTTTCCTGAAATTTGCAATTACTTGCTCATGCACTGAGTGTTTCAATTCTATGGGTGGCAAGGTTAAATCGAAAACTCTTAAAAATTAGACAACTGTCTCAAGCACTAAGTTTAATTTCCTCTGTGATAGGAAACGCTGCATTACTAGGAGAAATCTCTTACGAGGATCATTTTCAACAAGAAACGTCAAGATGCCATCAAACGGACTTAGTAATAGCTAGAGCAAAATATTATGAGAGATTGATATACCAATGCAACGGCATCCCGAGCAGCCATTGCTAGAATATCAGCACAGGAGACAGTTAGGGGACAAGCCTCTTCCAGAATGTACTTGATCTCATCAATGACCTTGAATCCACGTAAAGAGTTCCGGTTAGGTACTGCTTGCTTTTCACTAACAATGTCTCCATAGCTGTCCAAAAGAACTGATGCATCGCACCCCTGAGCCCAAGGTGACATCAACCAAGTGAAGGAAGAAGGAAGTGATTAGCTTGATGACTTTAATCAAATAATAACCATGAATTACAAGGGTGTTTCAAGTTTTATCATCCGGGGATACAGAGAAAAGGAAGTCTAACCATGACAAAGCAATCATGGAAGTGCAAGCGAAGAAGCGAGGCAGCCATCCGAGGTTCTTTGAGCACGGCAATCTCAACATTTCGGCTTACAATTTCTTCTGCCAAGGGGCATGCCTCTTTGTAGTAATCAAGTACCAGAAGTTGATCATAACTCAAAACTCTAACCGCGTTTAAAACCAAAACCAGTGAAATCAAGAATGCTCTCATAATCTCCATTGAAGAAAAATGAGAAACTGCTGCATGTAGAAAGCTGGCTCAGGTTATATGGCATGGGATAGGAATGTTGCAGCAACATATCGATCTATATATGCACTCGTTTTTGACAGTGATGTTCTCTTCTACCGTTATTGTCTCTTGTTACATTTTTCAAGCCAACTTTGTCATAAAAAAAGTTGCTTCCAGCTCTTAATCAAAGTGGATACAGCTACCTTAACCTAACCATTCTGTGTCTTTATCTTGTGTCGTTGAGATCATAAGGCGGTTTTCTCCTAACCTTGCTACTGCTACAGTCTGAACGATCTCGTGCAACACCAAAAACAAAATTTCAACTCATATATTCTAGCTCAAGCTTTTGTGGTGTTTTTATAATCAGTAAATTTATAGTCAATTTATGGTTCTGTCTAACACTGGACCTTTTCCATGATGCGGAATTTTCAATGAACTTCTGCAAATGAAAATTTAGTTTATAACTGAAAGCTTCCAAATTTGCACCGGTAAAGAAAAAATGAGAGCAGCAAAGAGATAAGAGTAAAACCAGACATGCTGGAACTTGGATTGTGCATTGAGCCATTATGAAAGGAGGTTTAAAGGTAAAAGTATGACTGCAAAATTTCAGTAACTAGAACTCGGTCACTCTTTGAAAGAGAAATAGAAATAGAAAGTTAAAACAACTAGACTATAACAATATACAGATGGAAAGTACGGCATGGCCAAGACTAATAGGTCCTAACTCAAAACATCAGTTTTGCTTTGAAGCGCTCTACTAACTAAAGGGCAAAAGAAGAAAAGAATGTTAGTCTCCACACATTCACCCCACCACAAGTAATAAAGCTGTTGTTAAATGCACACCACATAGTCTGACTCCGACCTTTACAAACTACTTATTCCTGCTATCATCTCTTGAAAGCAAGGTAAGCTTGAATATTTCTTGTATGCTACGTTATTGTTATCCTGACGTGGCATCTGGAAACTCATTTTTTGGAGAAGACACCTTTCTTCCATCTCATTGTGTTACTTGGTATCCTGCTTCCGGAATAATGCATGTAAATTAGACATGCAAAGCATAATGAAGCAACAGAAAGCTGTTCCCATATTACCTAGTCAGTGAAAGGGAAATTATTGTAAAACATTGAATATCAAATGAGAGCATATTAAAATAGTACCAAAGACATATAACACATTGGCTTCAACCTTGTTCAGATTCCTAGCACAGAGATGAAATTCATCGAGACACTAGTTCGCTTGATAACTCATTAATTATTAAAGTCGATTACCTGCTAAAGTTCTAATTCTCCATTTTCATCAAAGAAAATATCAGGATAGACAGCAGCAGTGCTAACATTGAGAGCCC